AAAATCACAAAAAAAATCTCAGAATGTTTTAAGTCACTTTACAATTTTGTGTTGGGTCACACTCATGGGCCCCTGGGTATGTGCTGCATGTGCTATACTCAGTGTAAGGTAAGGCTTCCTTAGTATCACGGTCCCTGGAAGTTTCCAATACTTCTTAATACTCACCTTTCTTAAGCCTCTCATAGCGGAGGAACGCGTATGGTGGGTTTTGAGGAGTAACATCTATGTATTAAGGGAAAAAAGACATAAAGATGGTATGAAATAACATGGAAAGAGCTGGAAAATGAAACTATTTAAGTGTTTTTGGAATATTTGATGCAAGCAAAGATGTGTGGTCTCGGGTGGTCCTTTCTTACCTGTTTTTGTTTTCCATCATTAGTAGAGTGAAATGAGACTTTGGTAACAAAGTCAAAATGTTGAAAATAGTTTCAGGAAGTGGCTCTGGTTATGGGAGTAGTTGCAGAAAACTGTCCCAACTTTGACACCCTAGGCCCTAGAACTCTAACAATGGAAGTATTTGGAGTGGCCATGAGGCTCACACTGGAGGTGGGTTACTAAATTAAGAGTAGAGTGAAGGTCATAAATTTTTGATGAGGTTATTGATTACAATGCATGGATATTGGTTCCCAGCATTAATTATGCTGGCAATTGGGATGAAGAAAAATGAATTTTGAAGGAATCATCTAAACACAGATAACATTTAATGTGATTTGGCTTTGTGAAATAAGCCTCAATGGAGATGGATTTTTTTTTTTTTGCATGAAGTTGAAAAGACAAAAGACACAGAAGCTGCAGAGCTGAAGGGCTCCACATGGCCTCCATACACGTCACACCGGACCTACATGCTGAGAGAAGAAAAACCCTGTCCATCAGAAAGTTGAAATTTTCTTAAAACTAAATTTCTTGTTGAGCTCAATTTTTAATACTTTTACAGCAACCTTGGCTTTGAAACTCACTCATGACATTTTTCCAAAAAAAACCCAAAATCTTTTCTTAATTCAGCATAAGCCATCTAAAAATTCCCCTGCCAAAATCAGTGATCAGACAAGTTTTGTGTACCCAGTAACAGGCTTACTTTATCATAGTTCCAAGGCTCAGGTGTGGGCTGGGAAACTGCCCATGGTGATTGTGCACTTCAAGTGACTCAGCAGGGGATTTCAGAATGTGACAGCTTTGGTTTAGGCTCAGTTCCGCTTCCTCTGGAAGCAATTTTTCAAGGTCTGTTTTTAAGAGAATGGCATTCCATTTGTCCCATCTTGATCATGTGTTAAAATGATACCACCGAAGGTCCTGGGATGCATGTACGTCAGAGAATGAAAGGGGGTTATAAATTACGCTCCTGCCTTTGTTGCTGTCTTACTTTCCTCCTGTAGTTGACCCCCTCCCCCAACAGGTCCCTGCACCACCAGTATAGTAATCCGGTAAACTGCGAGGTGACATTTCAACCAGGCAATGTATTTTCGCTCCGTGTCTCTCTTGTACAACAGCAAACAAATCCTATTTGTTTTTATTGCCTGTGGAATTTCTTTTATCTTTGACCTGAATTAGAAGAGAGGTAGGCCACATCCATCCCTCTTTCAAAGAGATGTGAATAAGATGAACTCAATAGTTTTGCTAAAGTTCTGAGATGAAAATATTTCAGACTGATGCTTTCTCTCTTCATTGTCATTCTAAGGTGCTGGGTGTCATTCCCTTACCTTCCTGGTGGATGATTGTATTATAGTTACTTTATACTTGTGCAGAGTTTTAGGTTATAATACTGAGGGGTACAGAAGAATTTCTTGAAGTTGACCGTGAATCTGGCTGTACATTGTAGCAGCAAAAGTAGTTCTATAGTTGTATGTATGAAGGCTTTTAGAATCAACCTCCTGACTTTCAAAGATTGCCTATTCTTTGGCCTTGAATTATACCCTTGCATTCTTGCAGCTCCGGTCAGCCACTCCTCAGCTGGTGTGACTGTGTTTTTGCTTGTGTCAATAATCACTCACTTTAAATTCTCCTTTTGTACTGTTCACCAGCTGTTTCCAAAACAAACATGTTTTCTGGGCTTGTGTAGAAAGAGATTTAAAAGGTGGTGATAGCTGTCTTTGCAGTTATTTTATCTTTATTTTTAATGCTAACTACTATAATGTATGGAATTATGATCCAGATATTAATCAATATTTCATCCAAGGAATCTTTTGCTAAGCTCTCATGACCACTGAAAATTCACAAACATGGATATGATTGGAAGATGCTGCTAAATTAAAAGGAGAAACTCTCACGTAAATAGATTTTTTTTTACTTCTAAAAATTTAAATGTGAATATAAATAGTATTAAATATTCCTACCACATTCTAGTTTCTGAACTCATCCTTTATTTTGAGAGGATTTTGACTTTGTTAAATACATCAAGGAAGTTACCTTTAATAACTAACCATTTTAAAATCACTTTGCAGATAAAAATAAGACCTGTGTAAATAGGAATATGATGCTTACATAATTGCATCATACATTACTAGTCCCTCTAATAATCACCTTTATCAAATATATTTTACTTACATCTTCATCAAAGTTTCTTTTGTTCATTTCTTAGAATAGACTTTGTGTCCTAGTGAATGCAGTTTGATTGTAATGGAATTATTATTATTGAAATCAATTCATTATAAGTTAGTCTTGATACAGAATTTTGTGTCACCAAAGTATATTAAAATAGCAATGTAGAAACAGCTAATCTCCTCAAAGTTTTGTCATTTGAACCACCTAGTCACGGTCTCTGCAAAATTTTAGAATGAAAATAATTGCTGGGAGGGGCATAGTAAGTGCCTGGAATCCCCAGAACTCCAGAGGCTGAGGCCCGAGGATTTCTACTACTAGGAAACCAGCTTAGGTTACATAGTTAGTGCCAGGCCTATCATGACTACAAGGTTAGACTGTCTCAAATTTAAAAAAAAGAAAGAAAGAAAAAGAAAAAGTATATTCTTTCTGCTGAGAAGAGTTAATTTGGCCTGTCCGTCACCTAAAAATTCATGCTTGAATTTTTTTCTCTGAAAGTTTTTCTTTCCCTTCTTATTTGTGGTGAATTTTCAGTACTGATGTGCAAGGAATTTCTCTTTGCTTTGGGTTCTAGTTTTAGCATAGCCTATGCTTTAATTATGGTCTTTACACTAGTGGAATTATAAAACACATGGTTTTTAAGCACATACAAATATTGCTAAATGAGTCTGTGTTTTAGACTTGAGAGTTTCAGAAGACTAGCTATGCTAAGTATACATTTGCCTCTGGTAAAAATGACTTTTAAAGTCAGGCCAAAGTAAGTGGAGAGCATTTTTAACAACCTCTTAAAAAATATTTGTTAGACAGACATAATCCAATGTCAAATTACTCTTAATTTTATGATATATCAGCTCAGAAACATCTATTTCATACTTTTTTCTTTTAAAAAAATTAAAATTAAGGATACACACTAATGCAAATGGAAAACATTCTATCGATCTACTTTTATATGACAAAATGTAAATTAAAATTAACTGAGATTCTAAAATTATAAATGAAAATCATGAAATTTCTAAACTTCCATTTTAAGAATAAGTTTATAGTTGAGGAAAAAGGAAAATTATTATTATATCAATATTTAGTTTCCATAAATATTAGTAATATTTTATCTCACATGAGAATCAAAATAAAGGACACTGCTTTTAAGACATAGATTAAGAAAAATAAATATGGACACAAAAGTTAATTTTAACAGGTACCAGTATACCATCACATCTATGAATGAGGTAAATTCAAAATTTCATGTTTTAATAGCAGTTACTGAAATCAGAAAATTCATTACAGTAAGATGTTCTGGCTTTAAACATGTTTTGGTTACTATGTACATTTACTTATTGTAGCATAGGAATACCAGTAATCTGCTGAACTATATTTTAATATTGATTTTAAATTCAAATGAATTATTGCTACAAGGAGGGTTTTGCATATAGAACTGTTATATTTTTGTGTGATGCTCTTTTACTAAATTTAGGCACAGTAAACAGATTGCCCATCTGAAATTCCTTCCATGTTAACCTACAAGGTCAGCTTGGGTGTTTTGGTCAGATCAGAGGAACTTAGGAGCACTGATTGGAGCAGCTGATGTCACCATCTTCTCTCTGTGTCCTTGCTCACAGAAAACAATCTTTCATTGCCCTGTGCTGCGATAGAGGAGATTTTTCTCAATCAAGGCTGAAAATTGATTGTTTGCTTAGTAATCAGGAAAATATCAAGGTTTATATGTAAATCTTCTTTTTCAAATAAAGACTCAATACCCATTCCCTTATATTAGCTAGTCTTTTTGCTGTCTGAGTAGCAGCTATTCACAGTAACAACTATTATTACTTCATTGCTAAATACTACTGTACTAGATATTTTTTAAATGGTAACTTGCTTAATTAGTAGTCACAGTTTTGGGTTAGGTATTCTTTTTTTGTTAGGTCCATAGAACCAAAAAATACAGAAAGAAGACCAGATTTTAATTACAGTTTTTATTGTGTTTTGGAATATTATTCTATTTTTGATGTCTTACTGAGATGCTGTATTAGCTTTTCAATTAATATAGTAGATTTTTAATGTATTTTTATAAAAGCTTTAGATTCACACATAGAATTCTTCTATGCATTATCCTACCAAAAGGAAATGCTACTCTGAAGGTAAAAGCAAATTATTGTTTTAGAACTTCAGGGATGCTAGACTGAAAATAATCTCTAATAATTTCTTCTTTTTTTATAACTTTTATTTTGTAAGGAAGCTGTAAGTACAGACTCTACAGTTAGAACACAGGGTCGCTACTGATGGTGCAAGCTAATTAAATGATCTATCCATGTCTAAAGAGCCTTTGAGTTTTAGAGAAAGCCAATAATAATTTCCATCAGCGCAATAGAAATCTACTTGGTAGAACCCTTTTAGATGTAGAATTAGATGATTTTTAACTCTCATGCACTGTAACATTTAAGTGGTTACTCTGTTTTTTATTCTTCTAGGAGTCAGAGCATGGGTTGTGACTGTGAAGTCTTTGACAAGAGACCTGGGAACTGAAGGACTCTGGCTAGCCTGTGTGCTAGTAGAGCTATCTTGTGAGTACCCTCAGCATGCAGTGGGGTATTCTGCAGTCTAGTTCTTGAAGTCATGCATTCGCTGAACTGAGAGATACTGATGTAAATGAATCTTTCCTTTTGTCTTCACTTTTGTCCCATAAGCAGAGTAAGACTGTTGAATTTGTAATGTTGCATGTCTTCTAATGGTCATTTTCCCTGGCTTGTTCCTGCCTCTTCCTTGTTAAGAGCACAGATTGGTTTCAGATCTTGACTCTGAGGCTTACTGATTAGAATCTTTTCAAACACCAATATTTTCATCTGTAAAATGAGGATAGTACAAGGTATTTTTGTTTATGGCTGTTATGAAAACCATATTGATTTATGTGAAGCACTTAGAACAGAATTTGACATATCTTCAAAGCCAAGTAAACTTAGCTATTCCTATTTTTATTCTAATTAGTCCTTAACTACTATATTCTATGAATTCATTCCCTCTTTTTTTTTGAAGATATAGACAGAATATTGTCCAAAAGTTAGGAGTCAGTGCCTTTGAGGTAGACGTTTTAATACAATTAATCTTGTCACTATATTGTTATCATGTTACATCTCCTAATTATTTAATGCCATGCTTTGAAATCATTCTATTTCTTATTTGCATTGTTACAAATATGTAGATAAAGCACAATTCTCAGATTCTGTAATGATTCATTTCATGAAATTCACTTACCTTTCTACCTTAGCAGACTTCTACTGAGAATCTTTAGTCTTTGTTTTGATGTCATTGTTTAAGCATGCAAATATCTTGGCACCAGAAAATTATGTGGCTCCTTACTAGAGGCCTGGATAAGAAATGATTTGAAAGTTAGGTAAACAGTATGAATGTTGTTTTCCAAAATGCTCTGTAGGGTCTGAGTCTGTTAGTTGACTAGGTTCATATATTCCCTCTGTATCAGGCAATGGTGATAGGTCTTCTTTAAGCCTTGCAGATGGATATGTATGATTAACCTTCTTAGTTACATGCTCTGTGTTCTAAGACATGTATATTAATTTACTTGGCCAAATATATTGTGTAACCCCTAATATCCATAGAGAAATGATATGTTTTCAAGCCTTCCCCTGTACATCGAAGAAAAACCAATTATCCCTGAAGTGGCATAGATGGGTATCCTTCTAGATACCCACACACAGGCCAGTAGCAGTATGCTGTCACTCTAGAGTTTAACAGTGCATTCCTTTTACAGAACAGCCTGTCTGTGCCTGTCTTTGAAGTCCCCAGGCTTTCTGTAAAGGGAAAACAAACAAATCAAAGCAAAACACATTCTTCACACAGACATCTGAAATACGAGGGGTACCACCTCTTTCAATTGGATACTTAAACATTATACCCACAGGCCTGTTGGATATGTGATTAGAAACAGACAATGAAACTGTGCTTCTAGTTAAATGAGATTTCTCTTTCTTTCTCAAATAGATCTGGTGTTTCTGTGGGATACATCAGCCAAGTCTGTCTGCTTCTGTTTTATAACTCCATATTTTCCCACATTTCACTGATTGGAATCTCATTTACCTAGATATTGGGCAGAGTCATGAAAAGTTTCAAGGGGCGTTTACCAAGGCACTGGCTGATAAGGGAATGTAGGGCTCTTTGGGTGGCCTTAGAGAACTTTTGTGCACTCAACCTACCCCTGCTTTAGCTTGAATCCATGAGTTAACAGAAAGATTGGACGGGGCGGGGGTGGGGGCGGGTAACAACACACAGGGGGAAGAGGAACTTATTTTAAAAGCCTTCTGTTGAGTTAGCAAAGAGTCAGACACATTCTGCTCCTAGCTGTGTTTTCTTCCATAGTCTCTGCCTCTCCCTTGAAATCCTTTCAGGAAGTGAATACAGAAATTCCACTCCCCACTCACTGTGTCTTCATTCCTTAAAGGTACAATGTGGATCTTGTGGGTAGATACATGTACTAATGGCAAAATGAAGCCTTTATTTTCAGACCGAATTAGCCAGTTTTATGTTTTGGGCAATATCTGAAACCTAGGAAAGAATTTTAAACTCAGGTTTTTTGTTTTTCTTTCCTGTTTCATAAGGTGATCCAGAAATAAAGCACTAAGAGTTCCTGTCATGGCTAGGTCAGCCACATTTGCTGACATGTCCCTGGAAACTGTTCACCGAGGATGATGTTTTCAGATATAAGGAAACATTTCTTTGGTATAGTCATGAGAATCAAACGGTAGTATCATGTAAGAGCTTTGTGATGTTAGAGTAGACATCTGGAGTATGTGTTTCTATGAATTTTGTCTCTTACCTATAGTCTGTGTGAATGTGTCTGGTGCCAAGTTAAATCCAACAATACTGTATAGGCTATTGAAAACTCTAATGTGACTTTGTGTCTCTATTTTAGCTTTAATAATGTTGGCTGGGTAGCTGCACATGCATCTGTCTTCCACTATGGGGGAGTGAGAAAGAGCACCTGCCTTACTGATCCCAACACCTCTACTGTTCATACCATAACAGCTTTTGTGTGCTAGCCACCCACTAAATGTTGATTAATTAATTAAAGGGAAGAGGAAGATTCAGCTATCCTCCTTAACTCATCTATTCAACTCTTAAAGTTGATGTTGGGCTGGAGAGCATAGCTTGAATATCTAATCAAGTCGGGATTCTAACTTGAATTTGTCTCCAAGCTCAGCTTTCCTTTGCATGGGCTGAATCTCCCCCAGGAAAAGCATTATAGAATGTTCACGGATACAAAATGCATCTCCTCTGTAGCGAGACAGCTGAGAACCAGAAAGCACAGGTACCAACTCACCTGCCTTGCTTAAGTTTGTCTTTTTCTTGTAAATTCATCAACTAGATGTGCAGTTGACTGAAGAGTTATTTTAGTAGATACGGATGCATAAAGATGTGAGTCTGTGGCAGTGGAGTCTACGGAGTCTGTGGCAGTGGAGTCTATGGTGGTTGACAAGGTTGATTTTATAGAGGACAGAAAGAGACATTCTTGTTGATGTGGACCTCGTACTGCATCACTGGTAGAACACTGGTACATATGAAGTCTGTGAGGCTGAAGGTGATGGCAGGGACCTGGTGAAATCAAAGTTTTGATACTGTAAATGGGCTGTCCTTGAACAGCCATTAACTGAAAATAGTTCGTCCATTAACTGAAAATAGTATAGTGTTTTACTGACTGGACAATAGCCAAGGAAGGAAAGGCCTTAAATGTCCCATGATCTCAAATCACCCTTTCCATGACTCTGTTCTATTAGTGAGCCACTGTTATGGACATGAAGAAGGAATCTTTTGAGGTGGCTGAATGCTTATTTATTTTGTGTTTAACCTTTCCTCAAACCCCATTGTATTTTTTTATGATGTGTTGAAACCGTGAAGGAATTATTTCATGGTGCAAATTTGGTTGATGGCTTTCTTCTGGTCCTTATCAAGATGAGAAACAAGGTCCCTTTTACATTATGACTTGGAGGAATAATTACTTAGGAAATGGACTAGGATTGTTGTTCTGCTGCTGCTAGTTTTTAAATTCTGTTGTGTTCTAGAATTCAGAAAATAAAACTACAATCAATTCTGCTCAATAATATTAAGACTATATTACTCTTTCCAGGAAAAAAAATTGCCGATGAGAAAACAAAAATATATCATCATATTTGGGAGGCATTTGGGGTTTGTTTACTTGTCTTTCATGTATTTTCCTGCTGTTTCCCTGCTAAAATCTATACCTGGACCTTCTGTTCTTTGAGAGTTCTTAGGTACTTTTTTCAGGGGAAAAGCAAAAGTTTTACACATTAATCCACATTTAAACTCTTAGTCATCCTGTGAACAATCCCAAAATCTCTCAAGGAAAATGTGCAAATTCTGCTTGAAATGTGGGAATAATATCATAAGCAAACTAATGCCCAGAATCTATTGGTGTATTTCAAGCACAGAATGAATAACACGTTCCTAGCCATGCTGCTCACCAAAGTTTTGCCTAAAACTGTCTGAATTCCCTCCTGCTGTCCCCAAATTATTGGAGACTATTAGAAACCTTGGAGGAAAACAGCAAACTTTTCATGATCATCTTTCTGGAATTACTCTTGAGAACAAATAACTTTGGCAAGGTTATCACCCTCTGCCATGCTCTCCCCAGGGTGCAGCAGGTAGAGGCAGGTCTCCTTTGCATTTGGCTTTTCTGTTCTCAGAGGTAGGTAGAGCTGACAAAGCTGTGTTTATTTCATACCCTGCAGAACTGTTTGCTTAACTACAATGTGAATTCTCTATACTTTAAGTGTTCTACATATCTTATTAAAAAAAGAAAAAGAAAAGAAAAGAAGGAGAGGGCTTGGGAGCAGCTCAGTGGTACAACATTAGCTTGCGTGTTCAGCATGTCTGGTGCATCCTGAGTCAAGCTAGCTAGATTTGCTATTCTTTCAACTATAGCAAACATTAACTCATAATTTGTTTTCTAGACAGATTGTTTTTAGCATATTTGCTAAAAGTGCATGTTTAAAATATTGAAACAATTTAGTAAGAATAACTTTTATGAAGAAAAATAAATTCTACATTCAAAAAGCGAATTTGTGATCTATAACTTGAGCTCTTCACACTTTCCTAACATGCTCTAGAAACCTGAAAGACCATGATTCCAATCGGTATTTTTAAGACTTAATAATGTAATTACAATAACCATAATAACAGTTCCATAGTGCACAATATGTTATCCATACTCTTGACAATCATTATAGATTTTATGAAGTTACTTAATGATTACAGAATTTTTATGTCAAACATAGGTATATTTTTATTTCTTTTATGTAACTTTAGAATATATTTTAATACTAAACAAAATATTAATTATGTATATAGAGGCTTAATATATTTAACATGCATGGTATAATCTATAGTGTTTGTTAACTAATGATAATGCTTTTCTGTGCATAAAATTGAGTCTTTTGTCATCTTTTCATTACATGAAAGTAAATAACTTCAATACATTTATTATATTACCTTCTTATTTTTAAAAGAAACCCAGGTCTTCTGTAGATTGTGAAGTTATTTTTAATTGCTTAATCATTTTTATTGCATCAGTAATTCTATCCCAAATACATGTGCTGAACAAAGAATAGTGTTAAAAGTTGCCAAGAATATTTCGTTTTGGTCTGAGCATTTGCCTTGGTCCCCACCAGAACAGGCTAAAAATCAAAATGGAGTCACTGGAGTACTGAGAAGTGTGGATGGGCCTCCATGGGAATCTACTAGTTCCTGGAATCCAAGTGTAAAAGTAAGCTACTTATCTGCTGTGAGAAATCAAGATTACAGAGATAAGCAGTCACATTTCCCAAGCAGGCCGGTTTCCACTGGCTCGATGACATTCCCTCTAACCTTAATCCTCACACAAAAGAAGATAAAGTAGCCAGATGTGAAACAATCAGTTATTTTCAATCCTGCGGCCTCTAAATCTCCACTTTACAAGGAAAGTAACTTTGAAAAGACCAATCAATTTTTTTTCTGGTTTTGGGTGTTGGTGGGGGTTGTTTCTGCTTTTTCTGCCTTTCTTTGTGTGTCAAATCAACACTAGCTGGTACAACAGAACACTTACTCTGTTTGTTGGAAGGAAGTGTTGTCTGACTCTAGAATAACGCAATTAAGCTCATTAAGTTAAATTGCTGTAATCTGTCCTTTGACACTGGCTGCTAAGCAATGGGCTTTGTTGAGACAAAGATGCATTTGAAGTGTTCTCTGTGAAGATGGCATCTCTTGTTGTTACCAGACATTTACTATGAAGTTATAAAATCTGTATTATAACTTTTCACTGTATTAAAACTTTCCATGTATGTCTATTTTTATAGAAGGTAAGAATTTCCTTCTGTTTCTATTTCATTTTAGTTTGTAACATAAGATTTTAATAGGCAAAACAGAAATGTGTCATGTATTTTGTAAAACTAATTGCCTCATTTGGTCAAGTAAATGAGAGGTAACTTCTGGAAGATGGTTATGTTTTTACCTGGCTCTTGTCATTATTGTATATATTTAGAAATACAGACTCTTAACACCTTAAAGAAGCATATTTTACAACTAGCTGGCATCTGATGCTCAGTTCTAAATAATTTCGTCTTTCCCATTAGAAATCATATGCCCTGTCTTTTCCTGTTGCTGTGATGAAATATTTTAACAGAAGCAACTTAAAAGATAAAGGGTTTATTCTGGCTCGCAGTTAAAGTTATGGTCCCTCATAGCGGGGAAATCACAGAGATAGGAACCCAAGGGAGCTGGTCACATCCATCCACCCCTAGTGGTAACGGAGAGCAATGAATGCTTGCATGCTCCTGCTCAGCTCCATTTCTCCACTTCATACAACACAGAATCAGAATCCTGTCCTGGGGAATGGCCCCTTACCACAATTTTGACGGGTTTTCCAACATCAGTTAATTAATCAAGACAGTCCCCACAGGCATGCCCAAAGGCCCATCTGCTTCGAGGTTATGTCAAGTTGTCAATTAACACTAACCCTCATATGCCCCTTACTCAGTGATTGTGAACACATTAGTCTGCTAGTTAATAGAGAGAAATATGAACCTTAGATCCTTATAAACTAGAGTTGGAATCCAAAACACAACATTTCCCAGTTGTGTGACATTATCATAAGCAACTGAAACTTGGAGCCTCAGATAGTACTATATTTAGAATATTGACCACAGTGCCTATCTTACACCGTTTAGAGAATGAGGTATTGGATGGAAATTGTTTGACAAAATGCCTACCTAGAACTGGGGAAATGATTTCTTTAGTCAGTAAAGGGCCTGTTGCGTGTAACCCCAGGACCTGTATAAAAGGTGAGGGGTGGAAGTATGCTCCTCTCGCCCCTGTCCATCCGGAGAGGTGGACACAGGTGGAATCCTGAGACCCATTTATTCTCCCCAGCCTAGCTGAAGAGATGGTCTTTGGGTTCACTGAGAGACCTTGTCTCAAAATAAAAATAATAATCAAATTAATAAATGTGGAGAGCAATTCAGGAAAAATGCCCAGTGTCAACCCTAAGCCCCCACAACAAGTGTACCAACAAACATGAACACCCACCCATGATACAGATATATATCACACCACACCCCCCCCCACACACACACACTACACCAAACAAAAACTGCCTACCTAGAACATTGAAAGTACCCAGTAAACCATAACTCTTCACTACTCAGAGGTTGTTGGAGTTTGCTTAGATACAAAGGTGGCACAGCCAAGCCACCACCCCATTCGCTCTAGGTTAAGGACCCTTTGAGATAGAGGGCACAAACATTGACAGAATGGCGTATGTGATGGGACAACAAAGTAAAGCTCACTGGTCCTCAAGGGACTCAATATGTGACCTTGGCTTCTCCATTATTGTTAATAACTCTGACTTCCCCAGTCTCCTAATCTGTTAAAAGTCACATGACAGAAAATACCCATGAAAATATGTGTACATCACCAGCAGAGAAAGCAAATCAGGATTACATAGAGCCATTCAAAATGCCAGACTTGCCTTCTTTGACCCAGGATATGATTTAAGCCTGGTTTACATTACAGTGGGAGAAGAACTAATTAATGTGCATGTTAAAGCAAGTTCTTCAAGAAGAGAGAGGGAACCACCTTTCCCCTGTTTGAGAGAAGAGAGAAGGAAGGGCACAGCAGAGTTTCAGTCTCTGGAGATGTGGGTGCAGGTTTTTGCTTCTGGCTAAAAGTTAATGATCAATTGCTTCTGTTCTCAGCCCAGTCCTGAGCAAGGAACGGATGCCGGTTCTCTCTCTCTATTCAGGTAACTTTAAATTTATACAAACTGTACTTATGTTGCTGATACTAGATTATAGACATGAGACTTCTTTCATTCTTTTTATCTCATTTCATCTTCTAAGTTTACCGAAAGAAAAATGAAAACATAAAAGTTGACACATGGATAAAGATTTCACTTCTGAAATGGATCATTTGAAGGCTAATAGGAGGTTCAGTGCTTGTACTAGGGAGAGCGTTTTTAGTTTATATAAAACTTACTAACATTGTTCTTAGTCTCACTGGCTGAAAGATGTATCACCATAATTATTTAAAAGAATACTTCATATTATGTAGCCTGCAACCTTTTTGTAAGGGAGGAAAGATGTTAAATATTTAGCACTGAAATTTTGAAAATAATAGTGGCTCTTTAGTCGCTAAAATTTTATTTGTACATTACGTAAAAATAAAGTAACCTCATTTTTCCTATATAGTTACAACTTATAAATATCTAGGCCAAAACAATTGTAAAATAAACTGTATTCTTTTTATTATAGAACTTATATAATTTAATCCAAAAACATTTGATAAAGTAGTGTGGCAAGACATAACATTATTCTATAGTTATATCTCATAGGGTGCTACCATACAATGTTGGTATAATTAAAATTTTGTTCATTAGATGTTCATGTTCAAAGTTCTAGAGATGAAAGTATCTATTCTATTTGTTTTCAGAGTACTTGTGTTTTGCATTGCATTCAGTATTAAGGGTATATTGCTGAAATCACTTGAGCACAAATTAGATGAATTTTTAGAGTTTTGGTTCTTTCTAAAGTGTCTGCGACTGATATCTGTATTCATAAGATATTCAAGGCCAAGTAAACTTGTCCTGGGTAGGTTTAGGCTCAAGCCTTAAAGTTTCTTAAGTACCATCAACAGCTTGATATCTCTGTGGTAATACATATGTAGTTTTCCATTGATATTTTTCCTCAACTGAAATTAAATGTCAGACAATGATTGATGGTTTTACATTTGAAGTTGTAGAGTGCCAGAAGAACATGCACTTTGTATATGTGGAACAGGGTCTGGGGAGGGGACTTACAGCATTGTGTTGGAATGCTGGGACTGGAACCACTGTCTCTATTTGTGGGGTGACAAATGCGGTTAACGATGTACTACAGTGTTCGTTCTGGCTTTGAAAGGGAAATCACATTTTATTCCCTAACAAATTTTCATTTCAGAGCACAGCTGGACAAGCCCTGGCAGTTAAGGTGAAGGGGCTCAGCAGTATTTTTGGTTCCCCCTTGGCATTACAAATTTGTTTTTCAGTTTGACTTGTAAAATTCCATCCTCTTGTGTGCATGTTGATTTGCCTAGGTATATATAAGTTCTCCTTAGAAAAAATTTCCAAAGCTAAAGACAAAATATTACCATTTATTTTGATGCACATACAAACAATGTTCAGAAATCATATTTTGTAAGCTAAATATTCAGGTGGCTAAAGTTGTATTAATTAAGGAAATTTAAAATCAGATTAAAATTTAAATACATGGCTGATACAAACCATCCTTAATTCCAGTTCCAGGGGAATACGAAGCCCTCTTCTGACCTCTGTGGTATTGCATGACATAGGTGCCCTCACATACATACAGGCAACACACTCATACACATAAAATAAAAATAATAAAATATTTTTTAAAATAAAAAATAAATATAAAAGACCTGAAAAAATTCTTCATTTAAAATTTAAAGCAATCCAACAGGGTGTCAGGGCACACACTTTTAATCCCAGCACTGGAGGAGGCAGAGGGAGGCAGAATCAGGTAAATCTTTATGAGATCAAGGCCAGTCTGGTCTACATAGCAAGTTCTAGGCAAGCTGGGCTACATAGAGACCTTGTCTCAAGAAAACAGAAACAATAACAAAAGATTTTTAAAAGTTCATACGCAATCTAAAGATACAATTTTTTTTTTTACAAGGAGATTGAAAAATATTTTAGATTCTAAGAAATAAGACTGTGTTTATGTGTGTGTGTATAAGCCAGAGCAGAACTTCAAGGTGTTTTCCTCTATTGCTGTCCACAGCTATATTACACAGTCCTGCTGACCTAGAAGCTCACCATTTTGGTAAGGCTAGCTGGCCAGCAACCTCCTGGGATCCTCCTTGTGTATCCCCTAACATTGGGATTATAGACACATTCAGCCTGGCTGACTTTATGTGTAGGTGCTGGAGCTTGAACTCAAGTCTGCGTATTTGCAGATCAAGCACTCTTACACACTGAGCCATTGCCTCAGCCTTGAGACTATGCTTTTTGAAATTGTATATGTGCAGATTTCTTATTATAGTTTTAGTATACTCTTCAGTTTGCCTTTTAGGATTAGATATTCACGTTCAGAGCCTGGTTTACAGATATTGATAACTATTTTCTATTCTAATTCACTGGGCTTTTTGTGCTCAGTTTCCCATTAAGACTATACAAATTAAGTTATTAACAATAACTTCGTCTGGTTTTATTGAGCCCATTATTAAACCTAAATACACTGAATTTATGAACAGGTGAAAAGTTTGCCAGGACTGTGGCAGTTTCCAGTGGACATTAATAGACACAGACACAAAATTTAAGATTCTCTAAGGGGGAAGAAGCAGAAAGTGCCAGTGCTGTGAAAAAACAGGAGTCTTCGTAAGTCTTCAGATGTCTCAGGACTTTGTTACCTTTCATTTCCAATCATGGGTAAATCAAAGTGTGGCGTGAGTGTTGAATGGGGTCCATGACAGTCTTTGTTTCTCCCTTGTGTAGAGTGACAAGCATGCCTGTTCACAGAGTCTTGGACCTGGTAGGTGATCCATCCTTACAAACATTCCTAGGGCTGTTGTAACAAAGTTCTACAAGGTGGGTGGCTTCAAACAGCAGAAAATTATTCTCATTCCGTTGTGGAGTATTGAGTGTGAAATATGGCGTCAGTGGGGCTGTGGTTTCTTTTCTCTTCCAGTTCTTCACAGAAGCAGACTTTGCTTGGCTTGTGGCAGTGTCATTCCAGCCTTCACGTGACATTCTTCTCATGTTCCATGTCTTTATGTGGCCTTCTTACAAGGACACTGTTCATGCTGGCTTGAGGCTCCCCAACTGCAGTATGTTTCAGTCTTAAGCAGGTGCATTGACCTTTTACCCAAATTTGCTATTAGACTCTTCCCTCAGAGGCCCATGTGCTAGAAGCTTGTCTCTTTGGGGAGGTGGTGGAAACTTCAGGAGGAGTGAAATTGTGGGAGCACTTTGGATTAGGGTAAACATACCCTGAAGCAGATAGAGAAGCCCCAGCCCCTTCTTCTTCCTGTCTTTACCTTCCCAGCCACCAGGTGAGTGACTGCTGTGCCACACATCCCACCATGAAGTGTTACCACAGGCCCAAAGCATCAGACCAGCCATCTGATCATGGACTAAGACCTCTTTTTTTCTTTGTTACTTGATTATCCAATCATTTGTTATTCTAACTGATAGCTGACAACATGCCCTATTGGGGTGGTTTGAATGAGAAACATCCCCCATAGGCTCATGTATTTAAACATTTGGTGATTTTCTTTTTGTCAGTTATGGAACTTTTAGGACATGGAACCTTTAGGTGGGGTTTGAAAGTTTATAGCCTTGCCCCAATTCCAGTTTGCTCTGTCTGCTCTCTGCATGTGGTTGGAAATGTGTCCTCTCAGCTTCCTGCTCCAGCCACCTGCTGCCCTTCCTCCCCGGCTATTATGGACTCTCTTTCAGGAAATGTAAGCCCAAATAAGTTTTCCTCCTTAAGTTGCTTTTGGTCACGTTATTTTACTGCAGCAACAAAAAGTGGCTAAAACATCTTGTTTCCAAATAATGTCATAATATAAGGTAGTAAGACTTCAACATATCTTTTTTTCAGGAACTCAATTCAGTACATAGTAGTCTGGCTCTAATCCCACCTACCCTTAGGTGCATTAATACCTGATCCCAACATCTCCAAATATTTTGGTGATTTCAGCATCGACTCTACATCCACATTTTTTCTAATCCAATGGAGCAATATGAAATATGGTCCAAGTTCAATGGCAAAATTATTCTCCCCCTGTGAATCTATGGAGCCTTAGAAATAGCTCCTTACTTCCAAGATACCCTGGGGAGACATAGAAAAATGTGACATTTCATTCCAAAAAGAGACAAAACTGTTTCACTGGTATTAAGTGGGTTCACAGCCTAGTAGGGCAAATTCCAATGGGTTATGTACAAGCTTGACAGTGTTCTGGACCTATTATACTGGACCTGGATTCATCTCTGCCCCCTCAGCCCTGGACCTCAGTTTTGTATTGCTCAGCCCCAGGCTTCAGCTTTGCCCCCACACCCTGGGGGTAGGTAGCTCTTCACTGGCCAAATAAGAAGGTAGCCCTGTCCTCTGGAAGTATAGCCACAGTTATAGCCTCAAAGTTGTTCTTTTATTTATTTATTTATTTATTTATTTATTTATATATTTTTTGTCTTTTTGAGACAGGGTCTCCCTGTAGCCCCAGCTGTCCTGGA